AACCACTTTTTTGAATTATGAATTAATTTTATCAACAATGAAGTTTAATTACAAAGTAACCACTTTGTTGAATTATGAATTAATTTTACCAACAATGAAGTTTAATTACAAAGTAACCACTTTGTTGAATTAAGATTCAATTTTACCAACAATGAAATTTAATTACAAAGAAATTAAGTTTTATCAACGAAGCTGAAATTTTTCTCTCCGAGCATATGAGTCCCCCCCTAGGAAGATGAGAAACATAATTCTTTCTTTATTCACTCAGCATATGTATATGAATTTTTTATTAAATTCAGAAGTTCACTACTTTGCCCCTCCCTGGAAAATTTCTGTGGATGGCAATGATATGTCACACCTGTGTTTTAGACAATATTTTTCCTGTATATTTGAGAATATTAATACACAGTTGGGTTGTGCTATTATGAACAACTTGTTAAAGCTAAAAATACTTGTTATATTCATTACTGCGTGTGTGTGGAATCACTAAAACAAACATTTGTATATAATTTTCTAGACTGTCTCAGCTTTCTAAATGTATGATAAAACATTAGTTCTGTGTCAAACAATCAAACATAAATTTTAAATATATTTACCTTAGAAATGTGATTAATTTGGACTAAAGATATATTCATTTGTACGACATAATACCAGTATTTTACAAAATGTATACATGTACTCATACAACTACATATATAAATTTGAATACAAGTTTTTTGGATATAAAATCAATAAACTATTTCCTCAAAACTTTTACGCAATGCCCCCTTATGTCTTTAATTTATATGTAAATCGCTAAATTTACACTTGTATCATATATTTTTTTAAAAGTCACAATCAAGGCTAGAAACGTCTATTTCTATTATTTGGTCTAAGCACTGTGAAATGTTTATATAATCTAAATATATTTTACATGTACCAAAATGTTAGCTTAACAGGCTATATCCTGTTACCGTTGCTTTGAGCTATCTTTTTTGTATTTACATGTACATGTATTTACCTCGATCATCTGCTATAAGAACTTTTCCTTGAACAGAGTTCCTGCAAGTGACAACTTTTTCACTGCTGTTCTCTTTGTAGTCTCTGCCAACATGCCACTGGAAAGATCTTCCTGGAAGGTGTATTTTCTGTAAATCTAATTCTTCTGTCTCAACAGTGTTACCCTATAATAGGATAAAAAAATTTACAGGTATAACACGTGTTAGGTTGATTTTATTTACTTTTTTGCAGAAACAATTTTTATGCATTTCAACCAAATGGTTTCCTTAACATGTTTAAACATATTAATTCAGTTTTTAAATGTTCTTTAGAAACTTTTTTTTTTGCTAGTGTTCAATATCTATGCAGTAGAACATTCTTTCTTAAATGACTTAGTAAAACTTTTCACAAGTTAATCTCCAGCTTGCAGCTTATAAATGTAAATGAAGTTTGAACTATACAGATGCAGTACATTGTTTTTGTCTCTCAAAGTCTGAAATTACTATTCAACCTGATCAGAGAACTTTGGTCAACACCAAGTTGCTGTAACTTGCACACCTATGTTTTAAATGTCAATAACAGCAAGACCGCTGGTTGAAAGTACATAGATGAGCTTATGAACATGTATGTGTCAACAAACATATACATATATCTACACATACTGTTGCCACGATAATGCTGTTGTACATAAAACTAAGGTTTCTGAAATACACTTTTATAGCATCCTTAACCTCAAAAAAATATTTACTTAATATATACATAGACAAAAACTTGATAGGATACACAGAAGTACAATGATAGTTACACTGTGTACCTGAAGTTATGGCCTGCACTAACATTAGAGGGTTATATACAGAACATTCAGTGGTACATGTATTGATTGTATAATGATATTTATACTGTGTATCTGAAGTGATGACCTGCACTAACATTAGAGGGTTATATACAGAACATTCAGTGGTACATATACTGATTGTATAATGATATTTATACTGTGTTCCTGAAGTGATGACCTGCACTAACATTAGAGGGTTATATACAGAACATTCAGTGGTACATGTACTGATTATATAATGATATTTATACTGTGTATCTGAAGTGATGACCTGTACTAACATTAGAGGGTTATATACAGAACATTCAGTGGTACATGTACTGATTATATAATGATATTTATACTGTGTACCTGAAGTGATGACCTGCACTAACATTAGAGGGTTATATACAGAACATTTAGTGGTACATGTACTGATTAATAGCAAAAATGTAAATAGCAGTATAAAAGTAAATAGTGGGTATTCCTACAATTTTAACAAGGCTCATAGAGACTCACTGGAGTTTGTTGAGGTCTCTTACTGGAAGTTAAAGTTTGCTAATTGGAGAATGAGATATTAAAATAAACAGGTTAGACATGACTATATAGTTTTAAAGTTAAGACTGCTTCTGAGAGGAAAGAGGAGAAACATTTTTGGTCTACAAAGGTGTGCAATGGAAGAAGGTCTTAGTTCAGGTAATAATGTGAAATATACAAGAACCTCTTTCTACTCAGGTGGATGAAGAAGAAAAGGATCCTATGGTGTTTATAGATGAGAAGTTAGTATGTTCCTAAATTAAAAATGTATTTCCAATAATACTTACCTCTGCTGACACTAATAGTTATTACTCAATCACCAGAGTTTCCATCTAAGCATTGGTCAGATTTTTTCTCGCTTGCTCCAGTCTTTTATAACCTACTCAATTGCCTTTGGCGATATACTCTCCACCTACGCCAATGCACCCTCTATCCTAGTACTGTATATAAGCACCTCATTCAGATAACTTTATCACTTTTTTTTAAGACTGACACCATCCCAGTCTCTAACACAGGCTCTTAGTGGGGAGGATGGGCGGGAGAGTGTCATTGAAGGTAAGTATTACTGGAAATACATTTTCAATCTAGGAAAATGTTAATTTCCAAAACATACTTACCATCTGCTGACACTTTAGCTAGAATCCCACGTTGAGAAGGTGGAGGGGCCATTGAGGGCATTGTCCATACAGAAAGCATCTGCATAGAACGTGGATGTACCAAGATAAGAGTGGTACCCGAGTGGGGGGAACTGCACTACATCCATAACAGGTATGCTCTTCACCCCAAACTTAGTTCCTGTACCAAAAGTGGAACAGTATATGAATAATCATCATTACAGACCAGCCCCAACTAGATGGCTGGGGTTTCACAACTCGGGTTGGAATTAAGGAGTCTTGGTCCCTATATCCCACGTTGGTGGCAAGGGCAATTGGACCGTAATGTTATATATAGATATACTTTTGATTGGACCCCAACCTGTAGACATAGAGTTATGCATTCTGAACCAATGGAATCACAACGAGAAAGTAATCAACACCAAAGGGGACAAACTTTCTCCTCCATCTGAAGAAGTCCAAAAGGAAACACCCCAGGCTCAGAATGATGGAATCGTGTATGCCCTACTCAACCAAAGGAACATAACTCATTTGATCGGGAATTATGAACATTTATCCTCACTCCCCAACCAAGTGGGCAAGGAGCATTACACTTGCCCCCAGAATTTTGGAGAGGATGTGAAACACTGCTCAAACAAGGACCCAGGATGGGACTGCTTAGCATTTGGAATTACTAAGAAATAGTGGACCTCCTTCCATGAACAATATAATAAACCAATATTGATCACAAAGAAGAGCCAATTGAATAGCTTAGCATGAAATATGAACTGGTATTATGAGTAGGCTCCTACAGAGGCTGGTGACGCTCCTTCCAACATCTGGGAAAAACATCTAGGGACCTGGGTAGGAGGGCCCCCATTTTTGTGCCCATTTCTCCAATAGTGGAGGAAAACATTCTGGAGGAAAAGCTTCTGTCTATCACCCCAGTGACTGGAAACTGGGTATGTTGAGGACTTCCTAGCTCCATTAGTAGAATATGGGGGTAATGTGTGTTGGGGAGTCGTGAGGAACAGTGCTCTGGAAACAGTGCAATAGGTAAACAAAGATCCCTAAATTTTTAAAAGCAAATCAACCCTGATTTATTAAATGAGTGGTAGTCCAGCATAATATGGTAATAGGATCTGGTGAGCACCTAGATGGTCTTATGGAACACCTCATTTCTACCAAGCCTGTTGCAACTGGTAGTAAGTATAATTAAATTGGTTGCTAGTACAGAATTGGACTGATAAAAGCACACCTGTCTGGGCAACACTCACAACAGAGCAGGATCCAGTGAAAAAAAAGAGGTAAGGGACTCAGAAAAGTAAAAAGATGAAAGGAAGACAAAAATACTCACCCCTCCTTATAATCTAGCAGATATTGATGGCCACAGGGGGTAGTCAAAAACTCTCAGAAGAAGAAACTGCTAGATCATGTAAATAATGTGAGAGAAAAGTATTGGGAGAAGGCCACATACCAGCCCGTATGATGTCCTCCAGCAGGTCATTCAAATGGGCATTGAAAGACATAGAAATGTGACAAATCTGATGAGATGCGACTCTCAGAAGTTTCCTCGCCTGCAAAGAAAGTCCAGAACAAGCAATATGGATATTTGGGAAGCCATGTTGTTAAGGTAATTGGGGATAAATCTTGGGAAACTGAAGGATCCCAATCAATAGAGTCAAGTTCTATCACCTCGAAAGGAGTTAGTGCAAGCCACATAATGCCTCAGGGTTCTGACAGGACATAACAAATGATCAGTGTCTGATCAGTCATAGAGGTGAGAAATAGCTGGCAAAAGAATTGGTGAGAAAGATTTATCCCCTTCCCTGGCTGCGAGAGTCTTAGAAAGAAAGGACCTATCAGGGTACAGCAGGACCGAAGTGGAGTGATAAGGAGTCCTGTGCACATGTAGTGCAAACAACTCCAACCTACGACGTTCACATGCCAGCAGCAACAAAAAATACCTTTTAAGGGAAAGGTGATACATTTTACATGAGGCTAAAGGCTCGAATGGATGTCGAGACTAAGCATGCAATACCATCCTAATATCCCAGTTAGGTAAATGAAGACCATTTGAGAAGAAGGACTCTAAATGATTGGAGAAGACCAAATAGTACTGGGGAGTAAAACACTTTCTGATGTTTAGAATAATGAAAATAGCCAATAAAGCTGCCTTATATAAAGCGACAGTAGACGAAGCTAGACAAGAGTAAAAAAAACGAGTTATGATGGGCACGTTTGGGTGAAGTGGGTTCAATTTACCTCGTGAGACACCAATGACTATAAGTGTGCCATTTCTGTTGAGAAACAGCCATTGTGGGACTATGGATAGATTGAGACACATACAAGGTAACTTTATAAGTTAAACCCCAATGTTGTGCAAAGGACCATACAACTTCCATACATAAAGTTTGAGCTTGGGAAAGATTGGGTGGAGAGTATTTGATCGAGGTTGCCTCAACAGAGATAGGCAAAGAAGAAGAGGCAGAGATGGATCCTCTTGAAGATATTGTAGAAGAAGAAACCATGGTTGGGTTGGCCAATCTGGGGCTACCAATAGCTCTCAAGTAGATGATCGAATCATAGCCAGAAATCTGGGTAACAGACATGTAGGGAGAAAGGCACAGAGGTGTAATCCCATCCAATCTTGACTGAATGCATTTATCACCAAACCCCGAGGATGAGGTACTGTGGATCAAAAATGCCCGTAGTTGACAGTTTCAATGAGTGGCGAATGCATCGATCATCGGAGTCACAAACTGAGAGCAAGACCACCGGAAAACCTCACAATGGAGCATCCAATCGGTTGAGACAAGTGATCTGCAATGATATTCATCACCTCTGGAACATGGTAAGCCAGGAGGATGATATGATGGGAGTGATCCCAGTAGAGAAATATCCAAAATTCAAAAATAAAGTTCCCAAGAATGATGCCCATGATGAGAAATTTAAGAGACCAGTGTGGAATTGATGAAATGAATCGTGATGATTTTCCCCTGTATTAGATCTAGACTTTGAACCTCTGCCTGTTGGACAACAAGAAGTTCTAAATTATAGATGTGGAAGAAAGATTTGTCTTCCATCCATAGACCCTGGAATTCTTGACCTTCGATATACGTATCCCATCCCTGAAGTGAGGCATCTGTGAAAAGATGAAACATGGTACGAGGGGGCAGTATAGGAACACTGAGGGTAGAGATAATTAGATCCAACCACCACTTCAGCACTGATATGTTGCTCATGATGAAGAATACTGAATGATCCAGTGGATCGAAATTTGTAATCCATTGGTCACGCAGTGACCACTGAAGGGATTGCATGTGTGTTTGTCTCAAAGAAATTAGAGATTCAAGGGATGCTCACATCCTCAAAAGAGACAGAACCATCCACGTAAGTAAGAGTCCGACTGCCCATTCCATAGTCTGGTGCCTGATGGGAGTTGGCTGAGCCTGACTTAAAACATGTTGAAAATGACACCTAGATGTACAATATATTAATTCAGCAACAGAATGGATTTCTCAGCTCTGATAATTAAGCCAGCTTTGGAGGCTTCTGAAAGGAGAATCTGGGCATGTTATTCTGCCAACTGACAAGATAGTGCCAGAAGTAATTTGTGACCCAGAAAATGGTGTGTGCACAGGCCCAAAGTATGAAGGTGACAAGAAAAACTTATTACTAGTTTCTTAACTAATCTTTATTTGGTACCTTAAGAAAGGACTTTTGAAAATGTAAGCACACTAAAGTCCACACCTTTTCCATCATACAGATAATAATTAACTTCATTGAAAAAAAAAAATGTAACACATTAGTAACATACTATTTCTCTTTGGTGAATCCATATTGTCTTTTGTTTATGATATCGATAAATTATTTTGTAAAATGTCTCTTATCAGACTTTCTTGAAATTTATCCCACCAAGATTAACCAGCTTATAATTTCAAGGTTAATTCTTACTGTTCCTTTTAAAAATAGAAGTGAAATTAATAGCTCTTCAATAATAACTTATCTGATTACTGTTTGCTAACCTGCAAAGACTAACTATAGAATTTGACTAACACTGTTTGGTACAAAAGTATCTTTTATTTTTGCTTATACAATATTTTCAGATGTGAACTACAAAATGCAATTTGTTATTTTGTACAAAATACATCCAAGGGTGTCTAAAGTTATAAAATACATTGAAAGATAAACATTTACCTAATCATTAAGTATTAAAAATTTTGTTCAGTTTAAAATTACATGAAAACTCTTTCAGTTTTAACAGCAAATTAGCATAATTTTACATTGTAGGATTTGTATAAACTTCTATACCCATGTGAATCATGCTTTTCTTTCCATTTCAGAGTGATTGTTAAACCATATCATTAATAATGACAATCTTAATTTTTATATCCTTAGATCAAAAAAGCCAATTAAGTTGCAACGTATTGATACTGATAAACTGTTTATAGCTTCCAAATTATAAAACAAAAGACTTATTACAGGAAGATACGAGATATTCTTCTGAGACAAATTACTGATTCTATTTTTGTATTGTCTTAAACTGTAATTTTGCCTCAATTAAGGTAATCTGTATTTTAATACTGACACATACAAAAACTGAATTCCTATAATTTAAATACTGTCCAATACCTGAAATACTAGATTTAAAATAATTCATGATGTTAGAAAAATATGTAGGTTCATAAAGTCTTGATAGAAATGAATAAAACCCTATAACCCCAGCGTTTTCGAAAGGTGGACCTTTCTTCTTCAGGAGCAACTAAGGTATTTTATCTGAAGAAATATCACACTTCAGATTTCAGTGCCAGAGTTAACACTTAATAAACCATATAATGATACGATTCATTTTTGCTCACAATTACACTGTACAATGTAGGCTGCCTCATGTTTTTGATAATTTTTAACACAGTCTGACACGAGCCATTTAATGATACAGTGATATTAATTACTAGTACTACAGCCTAGCCCGATTTATTTATGAATATGATTTACAACTTGAAGTTGAGGCTATCATATTCTTATCTAATATTATTATTATTCCAAATTCTTTAACAGTATAACTATAAACATTTTCTGTTAAACTTACAACTACAAGTGTTAATTAACACAAACTTCACAGGTTAATAATCAATGACAATAAGTTCAATACGTATCACCTTTTTGATAATGATTAAACAAAATTAGGTATAGTTACTTTAAAAGCTAAGTTTAGTTTAATTTAAATGGCAGTACAACTACTCAGTTCAATAGTTGTAAAGCTACTGAAACTGAAAGGCTAACTTATTAACTTAACCGTAAAATGAAATTAACGTACGCTTAACGTTTAGTTTACGGACATACCTCCCTCACTAAACTCACGATGCAATATACGAAGGAAAACGTAAGTATAATTGCAAGAAAAAGCCTGTTCTTTAGGAGTTTAACCACATTTTTCAACTTCATGGTACGAATCACTCTTTTCGCTCTCATTTTATTATGTATTTGTTTACAGAACCCAAATATTTGTTTACTAGTTATCCCTCATACTCTTACTTTAAAAAAAAGTACGCCCTCTTGATTTACGTTTACATCCTACTGATCAGGCTCATTTCGTGTTGTGTTAAAAACAACATCGACTATAGAGCCACCAAATAATTTATTTATTATATCTTAGAAATTTATTAGTGCTATTTGTTTTCCAAAGGTTTTAAAATTTGTCATGTATTTTTGACTCTGTGTGATTAATATACTGTTGAAATGTAAAAATATTTTATCCAACGAATTTTTATATAGTTTAGTATTTAAAGTTTAGGTACCGCTGAGTAAGCTTATTTATAGTCTTCTTGAATAACTTAATAAACTTTGTGTTCCAGATCAAAACGATTGCAAGTACTCAAACTTTTAAATTAGTGCTAAAACTTTTGTTGCTAAACAAAGAAATCACACCTAAATATCACTGATGACTTTCTCAACAGGTTGGTCCAGCATGGCCAAGTGGTTTATAACGCTAAAAATTATGGTTTAATACCAGAAGTAAGCATAGCTCATATAGTTCATTTCTAGCTTTGTGCTTAATAACAAAACAAACAAACAAGTCTTGTATATAAAGTAATAAAACTGTATTTTAAATTACAGAAAAACAAGGGTTATCGTAAAGATTTTACATAAAATTAAAACACTGTATCGTTTAAGGCCTGTTGGTTAGGGCGTTTGACTCGCAATCTACAGGTCACGGGTTCGAATCCCCGTCCCACTAAACATACTCGCCCTTTCAGCTGTGGGGGCGTTATAATGTTACGGTCAATCCCACTATTCGTTGGTAAAAGAGTAGCCTAAGAGTTGGCAGTAGCTGCCTTCCCTCTAGTCTTTCACTGCTAAATTAGGGACAGCTAGCGCAGATAGCCCTCGTGTGACTTTGCGCGAAATTAAAAACAAACAAACTTATGAGGTTATGCAAAGATGGTTTATAGATGAATTCGAACACTATTTTATTTACACTTGATGTCGTCTCTATATACCCTTCCATTCCATAGAAGAAAGTATAAACTCGGTTATGAATCTTATTGGATCGGCTACCCTTTCTTCTACCTATGAAACCCCAATAGCACTCATTGAAAATTCTCTCAGATTTGTTCTCAACAACAATTACTTTGAATTTAATTCAGCTGTCTATAAGCAAACCAAAGGTATTGCTATGGGCAACAATATTGTTGTTGTTTTAGCATCTATCTTTATACATTTCTTTGAATCATCAGCTCTTACTCGTGGAATTTTGAAGCTAATCTTGAACCAGTTAGATGCTAAAGATATATTGATGACATTTTCGGCGTATGGAATTATGGACTCCCTTCTCTTTTTACAATTCGCTGAATTCCTTAATAATCAACACCCGACATGAAACTCACACTTACCCATACTGATAACGTCCAGAAGCCTATACCCTTTCTTGATGCCATGGTCACTACTGAAAACAACAAACTTGTTACCACTGTATTCCAAACCAAGTATTAAACTTATTATTCTGTACTATAATTCACACCATCCACTAGGTACCAAATGGGTTGTCATTACCGGTCAACTTAATAGGATTGAAAAAAATCTGCAATACAATGGACAGTAAGATGCAAGCTAGGATGAAACTTCAAAAGCTACTGCTGTACAATGGCTATCCAGACAGTTACATTACTAAGACATTCCACAATTTTGACATATTCTGTACTATAATTCACACCATCCACTAGGTACCAAATGGGTTGTCATTACCGGTCAACTTAATAGGATTGAAAAAATCTGCAATACAATGGACAGTAAGATGCAAGCTAGGATGAAACTTCAAAAGCTACTGCTGTACAATGGCTATCCAGACAGTTACATTACTAAGACATTCCACAATTTTGACACACAAGATTTTAACAAACAACGGCAAGAAAAGAAACTACCACATCATAACACTGTCTCATGTATTATTCCCTTCATGGATAAACCTTTCACTACCCGTCTTCGTCAAGCAGTTAGGAGATCTGGTTCGAATATCCACATCATACAAAAAACCGATAAAAGACTGAAATACATACTGTTACGTCTCTGGTCGTTTGTTAATTACCCATAAAAAAATTTTCCGATGAAACTTCAGCGACACAAGTCCTTTCTTGTATAAAACTATTTTATTCTTTCTCAATTCAACTTTGCAATACACTTAATTTCCACAGTCACTTTAACTTAAACACACGCTATAATTCACAATGATTCATGCACTTTACTTACGGTCACCACTGCGCTTAACTCAATTATCCATCTCTATATCTGCCTGTCTGCAATTATCCTTATGCCGTCACTCATTTCCCGGCTTATATATTTATATGTATATAAAAAATAGAGGGCGCGTAGAAAAGGCTAGAGTTGCCACGAACAGACATAATCCTTTTAGAATCTCATGACATGTTACTAGCTTCACGTGACTACCGCTGTCGTAACACTGCTTCTTCCTTAGTATTGTTCGTCCCGAACAATAGCCACTTACATTAAACCAATAGATAATTAACAATAACATAATTAAATGGACAGAATTTACAAACACAAAATTAAAATTCAACAAAGTCTCTTAATTTTACGGGACGTATCTTCTTCCGTATTGGTCTCCTTCTCGTTAGCTTCTGCTTCACGTGGGGTTCATCTGCTCCATCAGGAAATGTCCTATTATCGGTAACAGTCACATCAGTGGTAGTAACTTCATTAAGGGCTTCACCGTTTCCCTTCTCAAAACCGGGTAGAGTTTCATCTTCGACAATGGCTTTTTCAGGTGACACGTCTTCAGCAGCGACATTTGTTTCATTGTTCACTTTGTTCCAACTGAAATGACCTGGACCGAGATAACGCCAAAGCCTGTTGGCATTTTGATTTACCTCTCCGACCACATTTTATTCGGAAAGTCACGGCTGAGAGACGATCCACTATGTCATGTGGGCCTTCCCATGGAGAAG